CCTCTGCCTTGCTAACGACATATTTCACGTGCTCGCCAAAAGTTCGCCTCGTATCTAGGACCACTCCCAAGTACTTCACTTTTTTGACGTATATTATACGTCCCAATGACGTATAATATACGTCATTGGGAGCCAACCACGGTGACAAATCTCAACACAACAATTTTAACAACCTCAAAAAGACAATATATATACAAGGGTTATACGAAAAGTAAAGGGGGAGTTGAATTGAATTAATAAAAAAATCAAAATAGGAAAATGTTAAACAGGATATTTTGTGGGAAATATTTTTAGAATAAAATACTGAAACAAAAATAGTTAACAAATAAACGAAAAAAATTATTAGGAAGAGAATAATTATTTGAGGTAATAATTAAAAAAGGAACACGCTTATCAGCTTACAAACCATGCAGAGTAAAGGAAATAACAAAAACAACTATATTTATTTTGATAATTAATATAAATTTCATATGTATAACATATAATAAATATAAGTATCACATATTGAAATTGACAGTTATTTTTTAGTCCTCGATGAACCATCTCCTTCTCCTCGCCTTCTTTTCGCGAGAGGATGTCTTGGATCGTAAATCTCGAACCAATCGTCGTCTTTGGTATTGGCATCCTTCGCTAATACTGGTGTGTCATCTTCAAATTTCAGGTTATGTGACAACCTAAAACCAATAAGATTTCAAAAGATTGTTTAACACAGATTAATCAAAATTATAAGTTAAAAATATGTATGTAAGGAAATTGGACTGACAAATCAGTATGTTTTTAGTAATTAGTACTGACACATACTTCCCTAAAAAGTTATATTACTTCTACATATTATCTTTATAAATTCAGTTGCAAAGAAACAATTTACTTACCAAGACCTTTCATCATCTTCGTCGTTTTCCTCTGGTTTTTCATCATCTTTATTCTGTTCTTTTTCTTTAGCAGTGTGCAACTTTTCCTTAAACTTATCCAATAACGCTAACGTAAACTTCTCCCTATCAGATCCTTTCTTTGGTAACTTCTCCTTTCTAACTTTGTATGTGTTGTACTCCTCTTTGTACTCTCTCACCACCTCACTTTTTACTTCTTCTTCTTTCTGTTCTATCGTCTTCTCTTCCTCTTTCTTGAGTTTATTTTTGTGATAGTCCTTTTTGATGTTTTTTATTTCTTCTTTGAGTTCCTGCCTTAAAAAATTAGGTTAATGTTAACAACGTAATGTCAAGAATTTGAAAACTATGTAAAAATGTTGAAAACTAATTTTCTTGTCTTAAATGCTGCAGCAATTTTAATAAACCAATAATGTGGGTACCAACTTAATCGGTTCAGGTATAAAATATTATATCAACATTTTTTTGTAGACTGAGCTAGATAGTGAGTATAATAAATAACTAAATAAAATAAATAACAAATTAAATTGAATTTACACATACATTTTCTTCTCCTTTTCGAGTTTTCTATCTTTTCCCAGGTAGTAATCCTCAAATTCATCATCAGACCCTCTCGTTTCCTTTGGACTCAACGGCCGTTTTGAGTTTTTAGGTTTGGACTGTTTGGCAGCCTGAAGTTTCTTCTTTATGTTCTCTAATTGTTTTTCGGTAGTTGTCGTTGAATCAGGTTCGTCAACTGCCTCGGCTTCTGTCTGGGAACTTAGTGTAGGATCATCTGAAACAGTTTGAAACCTGATAAACACACATATGTAGAAATCTTTGTAGAAACTAGAATACCCTTATTCACATTACATATTGTTAATACACGTCTGTTGGTCAAAATAACATAGAGATTGAGAAGATACAAAACATGAAATATACATATTGTCAGATTGAGATGACATACCGTGAATAAAGAAAAGTGGAACAAAGTTCGTGAGCAGGTGTGGTCTCACAATGGAGCTGTAGAAGCTTGAGAAGGTTTATAAATAAACAAAATGTGTATTACATTATAAGCCATATTGACACAAGAGATCCCGAAGTATAAAGAGAGACTTGGTACATTATTTAATATTCGACATCACCAGATTAGTGGATACACTGTTAAATGTATTTTTCCATCGACCGTCCATTTATGATCAATTTTAACATCCCCAAAATCATTGATTAATGACCCCTATTAATGAATGATTTTCTATTAATGAATGATTTCATTAATTGCGTGCATAAATTAATTAAATGCTCTGTGATTAGCAGTGACCTGTGGTGTAGGCAACCAAACATATACCTATTTATATTCCCATTTAAAAAGCAAAGTGTTGTACGAAAAAAGAGAAAAATAATATGATATTCAGAATCTGTATTGTTGACATATTTTTCAAACATTGCCGAAAAAGGACTAATAGCAAGTTTGTGGCTCAAATATTCGATGCTAAAATCAACCTTAAGTTTAAAATCAAACATTGATATATCTAAATATAATAAGTTAATTATGTTTATCAAGAAAAAAAGAAAAGATTATGTACCAAAGAAATCAAAAACTCTTGAAAATGAACAAGTCCAGAAATTCATCTCTGATGCTCCTAACGACGTGTTTCTAATGATAAAGGTAAACCAGTAAATTAAGTTTATATATTTAATACTCATATTTCATAACATTTCATTTCGTAGATTGCATTGATTTTCGGAGTGGCGTTAAGAAAGGACGAACTATTGAAATTAGAAACAAATAACGTTTAAGACTTGGGGGTCAGAGTTTCTTGTCACAATAAAAGTATCAAAAACACACACAAATAGAATATTTACCATAGTAGATAACGAAGTATCAAAAACTATATTTCTTTAAGACCGGCACACACACCACATAAACGATTTTTCATTTTTTAACTAAAATTCCACTAAACTGTTAAGACACTGAGTCACAATATTCAACATTCAATTAATTGTTAGAGCTATAAGCTAACCTGAGATCCATTGCAATTTGATTTTATTATGTATAACATAGCTATAGGTAGATATAAGAATAAGAGAATAGTAGATATAATAATTAAAGAGTAAAAGCAAGTGATGGAATAAAATGAATAGACAGCATTCAACAATGTAGTAGATACAGCATTCATTAAGTTAACCACCAATATATGAGTAAATAATAAAAAGAATAAATATAAGTAAAGAGTTATTACCTAAAACATCGTGAGTTGATTTGCCTTTTCCACTCAAATTTTTATTCACTCTAGTAAATTCCTCCTCATCTTCTTCAGCTTCAGCACCAAATGACAGTAGCTTGAAATTCCTAAAAATAATTAAATAAAATAATAAATTATACAAATAAATAATTGTGTATGTTTTGGAGATTACTGGCAATAGAATCTTTCAGAATCAGAAGGTCCATTTGTCATCTTACCTTTAAGTGGTCATTTTTATTTTATTTTTTTTTTTTAACTTTAAGAAAGTGCTACTTGGTTTTCATCTTCTCATTTGTTAGAGTATATAATTATGCTGGCACATAGCTTCCACTTGGTAAAAGGTACAACCCAATTGAATTTGGCTTAATATACTTTCTATCTGTTAAGGCATATTAAACTGAATGCCTTTTCAAACAAAGTCATAATAAATATCTAGTTCATATTAATAAATCTCTGAGATAGTTGTAAAACATTGTTATCCTTAATAACATGTAATCAGCCACATATTTGAACAACTTAATACCTTTGAAATGATCGTAAGTCAGTAATAATTTTCTTTGACTATATATAATTTGACTGCATGATAATATGACTTCTTTAAAAAGATCAATCATATCCTATCATATCGTATTTTCTCGAATCTATAACTGTTTCAACTACTTACTTCACTCCAGCCTTTTTCTCCTTCTTCTGTTTTTCTTTTACTTCAACCTTTTGTATCCTTGGTACAATATCTGGAAAAGGATTATTCAAAACTTCAGCTTTAATGATCTTATTGGGATATACAGGCCTTTCATCTTCAACTAACCCCTCTTCTAATTTCAGCATATTAAAAACTGTCTCGCCAGTAACTTTTCCAAATATTGTATGCTTATTCTGTAATTCCGGTGTAGGACCTAGAGTAAAAAAGAACTGAGAACCATTATCATCCTTTCCAGCATTGGCCATTGCTACTAGCCCTCTCCTCGCGAATTTAAGCCTCTGATGGAATTCATCTTTAAACGGTTCTCCATATATGGACTCACCACCTGTACCATCTCCATTTGGATCTCCTCCCTGTACAATGAAATCTTTGACTACTCTGTGGAAGATAAGATTATTGTAATATCCCTCTAAACATAGCTGTATAAAATTTCGACAAGCCTTTGGGGTTTCTTTGGCCCATAATTCTATGTCTATATCTCCAACAGTGGTTTTTAAAAGAACCTAAAAATAAAATATTAAAAAACAAAAATAAAAATCTATCAATAATGCACTATATGGTGTAAACAAACCTTTCCAGACGTTTGTGGTTCTAGAATATAAATACTACTCATGTTTTTAAATCAGGACTGCTTTTGTTGATATTTCCACTTTTTATTTATTTATTATGACTTTTTATGAGGAGGTTGAGGTTACACACCTCTTCTATAATTCCTAACCTAAAAATCTGTTTCTTTAAAATAAAAATTACTTTTGTAATGCCATAAACTATCATGCCAAAAATAATTTTTCGTCTTATACTATATATTTTAATGTATCAAAATAAAATACTAAAAACATTGTTAATTTGAAATCAATCTAATTTCTTATAACCGAATTATAACATACAAATAATTTTTATTCCGGATCTGGAATTTTGACAAGTAAATTTGTTTTCAGAGATATAAGAAGTAAGCGTTATAAGTTGTTTACACCAGACGTAAACAATTCGACGCAAGCCGTAATAATTTAAAGTATGCATCTAGCATCTTCCCTAGGGGCATTTCAAAAAATATGTTAGGAATGTGGTTTTTTTATTGAATAAATGACGTGTAGAGAAAGTACACTCGAAGTTTTGTGTTTATAATTTTAGGTTGTACTTAAAATACGGGTGTTTCTGTTGTTTTAATTAACTTTTAATAGTAAAATGCATCCTAACAGGAGAAGAAAGAAACGACCTAATTATGGCATAAAAACAGTTGAAGTGATGAGAGGTCCAAATGGTTTTGGTTTCACAATCTCTGGACAACAACCCTGCATTTTGTCTTGTATAGTAGCCAACTCTCCTGCAGATCAAGCTGGTCTTAGGGCAGGAGATTTCCTCATATCAGTTAATGGAACTTCTGTCTCCAAAATCACTCATGATGCAGTTGTGAGTCTCATAGGAAATTGTATAGGACCCATAAAGATGACCATAGCCGAAAATTACTTTTCAGACAGCAGTGATGAAGAGTTAGAATGCAGTAGAATGGTTACTACTAGGAAACCTAAATATACTCATAAGCCTAGAGTTCGAAAGGAAGTAAATAGAGTAGAACTTAAGAATGTATCTAAGCAAATGGCAGCTAATGTTCCTGATAGAGTAGGGTAAGATTTCAAAATTTTATCTGTAACTACTTTTTTGGAGGGTCTTTGACCCATTGGAAATACAAACTATATTTGATCCTTCAATCCATTTTTTATTATATAATTTTTATACATACAAAATACCAAGATAAAAGTTAGAGTAGGTAAAAGGTTATTCACACACACAACTTCAATTATCCTGGGACAACTTCAATATTTGGCTATAATTCTCAGTAAATTAGATACAGCATTTAATAATTTTTTTTAGAAATACTTACTGTTATTCTAATAACAGATCATACTAAATCAATACATGTATTAGTTTTAATCCAGTGGCCCTATATTTTCAGCTACCTGTTTCAAAGTACCTATTTCTTGTAAAACCTTGGTTATACCAAACCACAGTAACAAACTTAGAGGTGTTAAAACTGAGGCTATAGTAGATTATAATCTGTTTATTGAACCTAAATACTTAGTTTTTCAATAGTTGAATATATGTTGCTCTTTAGCACAGTGCATTTTTGTTAGACCCTACCAAAATGAATACTGTTTACCTACAGAATTGAAGTATATCGTCGGTATACTGCAAAAACTGACCAAGTCAAATTTTATCAGTTTTGAGTTAATTTGACCAAGTCATTCAAAAAAGTTGTTAGTTCTACCAGAAAAATTGACCAAGGCATTTAAATGCACCACAACTGTCAAACAAAACTCGCCTATAATGACTATGTGCATAAGACTATTTTGGTTACATACAAAACTGACCAAGTCAACTTAGTCACTTTTGGCTGTCAGTAGATTGCACTACTTGCCCGTTAGTCGTGTGCTGTTAGTTGATGGTTCAGAACTGTTTACAATTTAAAAACTGTAAAATATTAAAAAAATAATGTCGAGCAGAGGAAAATATTTAGTGTCCTTATGCGTTAATAGTGTTGAAGAGCAAGTGACTGCTAAAAGTAAGTAAAATATTAAAAATAAGTAATAATTTCGTTCTTAAGAAATTGAGGTTAGATTTGTTTCCGTATTTTACATTTTAGTGTGCGTTTATTTCTATCTCGGGCTAAGCATTTATTAAGCAGGAATTTGATATCAAACATGCATTTTAATTGAAATCTCTAGAATTTTGACTTTTACATTGTATTTTACATTTTAGGTGCAGCAGCTGCTGAGCTTCAATTATTAGAAAACTTCACTGTATTTGCCGATAACGAAATACCTTCCACAAGTACTGAAGAGCATGTCACTGCTGAAAGTAAGTAAATATTAAGTAACTATTGTCGTTCTTCAGAAATTGAGGTTAGATTTTTTCCGTATTGCTCTTTACCTAATTTAGTGCTCGGTAAAGGACTACAGGCCAGAGTAAGAAGTGAGGAAATCAGAAACATATGTGGGGCAGACAATTATAAATTAATACATGTGTAAAGAACATGTGTATCGAATCGACACATAAGCAAGATGTCTGACTCAAGGATAATAAGAATAGCCAGGGACAAGTCACCGTGGGGCAAAAGAAGTAGAGGACGCCCAAGGAAAAGATGGATCGAAAATTTAGGGGCAGAATAAAAGGCACCGTTGAACAAAAACAGGCCGTACTGCCTATATAAAAGAAAAAGAAGAAGAAGTAAAAGTTAGTTCATGAAATAACAATGTGTGTTTTTGTAGTTTTCTTGAATATTTTATTTTTTTTATTTATATAGGGCTACACGTTTAAGCAGAAATTTGATAATAAACATGCTGTATTTAAACTGAAACCTCTAGATTTTTTACTTTTATATTTTATTTTAGGCGAAGCAGCTGTAGAGTTTCAATCATCAGAAAACTTCACTGGATTTACCGATGACGAAATACCTTCTACAAGTAATCTCCAAAAAGGTAATTATGAACAGGATAGTGAACCGGAAGCTACTAGTGAATTAGGTTTAGAGAGCAGCGATGAATATGCTCCGGAAAGCGACGAAGAATCAGATGATGAACCACTGACAAAGAAAAGATCACGTTGGAGAAAACCAGAACCAGAAAAATGGAAAAGAAACGTAACAAAGAAGAAAAGAAGTTTGTGTATGCCGTACAATAGCAAAAACAAAATCAAACCAGCCAAAAGTCCAAAATTTGTGAATTGTAATAATTGTAAGTTTAAGTGCACTTTGAAATTTACTGAAGAGGACAGAATTTCTATTTCTTCAAATTATTGGGAACTCGATTATTTACGCCAAAAAGACTTTATTTTATCTTGTGTTATAAGTCATTTGCCAAAAGTTCACAGAATTCGTACCGGCACAGGTACTAGAAAAGAATCTAGCCGCAAATACTATTTTAAGAAAAGTGCTGAAATTATTCAAGTATGCAAAAAATTTTTCTTAAAAACTCTGTGCATTAGTCATGGTCCAGTGGACCATGCTTTAAAAGGCAAAAATCAAAACGGGTTATTTAATATGAAGGATAAAAGGGGAAAGCATGCTCCTTACAATAAAACTCCAGATATACTTGTACAGAAAGTTAAGGAACACATCGAGAGCTTTCCGACTATGGAATCACACTATTGTCGGAAAAGTTCAAATAGGTTATATTTGGATCCCAATTTGTCAATCAGCAAAATGTTTGAGCTTTATATGGAACAGTGCAAACGTCGAGATGAAGCTCATGTTACTGAAATCACATATCGTAGAATATTTGGAAAACATTATAATATGTCATTTTTTAATCCCAAGAAAGACCAGTGTGCAATTTGCAACCAGTATAAGAATAAAAATATTAATGAAGAAGATTATAAGCAACATCTACAAAGAAGAGATGAAGCAGCCGAGGCAAAAAAATCTGACAAACTTCGAGCAGCTGAAGAAAAAACATTTTTAAGTGCTTCATTCGATTTACAAAGTATATTGCAAATACCATCCTCAGACGTGTCACAAATGTATTATTCTCTTAAATTGTGTGCTTACAACTTTACAATCTATGAAGCGGCACCTCCAAATAATGCACACTGTTATGCATGGACAGAGATTAATGGTCAACGTGGCAGCTCCGAGATTGGAACAGCATTGATCAAGTGGATAAACACTCTGCCAAAAGACATTACAGAGATCAGTTTATATTCTGACACCTGCAGCGGCCAAAACCGCAATCAGTTCATTGCCGCATTATTTTTGTATGTTGTAACACATACCCACATTGAGATTTTGCAGCATAATTTTATGGAGAAAGGACATTCGTACATGGAGGTAGACTCAATGCACAGTGCCATTGAGTCTGCCAAGAAAAATGTTGCCATTTTTACCATGAATGATCTGTTGAATATCTTCAAGTTAGCCCGTTCTACAAGACGCAACAAAAAGAGCAGTGCCTACAGAGTTGAAGAATTACGGTATTCAGACTTTTTCGATCTTAAATCCTTAGCACAGGTGTTCTTCAAAAATAGAGTCAAAGATGAAAATGGAGACAAAGTATCATGGTTAAAATTAAAAGTAATGCGTTATGAGAAAAGTCGACCTGGCTGTATTCTTTATAAGTATAATTTTAGTGATCCTAATTATAAGACACTTAGAGTAAGTGGCAAGGGAAGACCTGCTGTTATTCCAAAGAACATTCCAATGTTATACAATGAGCTATTGTCTATACCAGAGAAAAAGAAAAACAGCCTCCTTCAATTGTGCAGAAACAAGATTATTCCGCCAGAGTTCCATGAGTGGTATAAATCGATTCCAGTCGACAAGAAAAAAAAGGTTCTAATACCGGAACCAGCTTCTTCCGAAAGCGAGGACACAGAAACTGATTAGACTTTAATTTTGTTTTATGTACTGACTATAGTTAATAAATAAATGTCATTTCCTAATAAGGTGTTGATTATATTTTTTGAATTTGACTAAGTCAAATTTCTAATTTTTTTTACAACAAAAAGTGACCATGTACATTTTTTTATAACTATTCAAAGTCTCCAATGTTTAAATATAGTGGTTAAAAACTAAAGTTTTTAATACACAGGATATCAAAATTGCAGTCACATAAAGCTAATATCCGATTTTATATAAAACTTTCAACTTAAACTTCATTTTCCCGAAAACAGTAATTTTTGACTTGGTCAGTTTTTGCAGTATACCGACGATATTAAATAACACAGGTTAGATGAATTATTTCAACAAATAAGTTAATTATTCTGCATAAGTTAAGAATTGTATTCAGAAAACCTTAAAAAGTAAATGTTGATTAATGAACTACTTAAATAAATATTCCAATACATCACTATCTGTTTCTAGTTAACAAAACTTCACAACATAATAAACTGTATTCCTAAGCAAATTCTGCAGTCAAAAATAAGAGTTTTAATATTAATTTGTAAAGATCACTTCCAATAATTTTAACTACTTTTTGAAGTTCTTAAATCCCACTTTTCATTCAGAAAGTATGAGAGCTGTACAGATTTAAACCTTAATAGGCAATATATCTGTCAAATTTATTTAAATCCTGTGATTGATCAATCTCATACACAAAATTTCATCTGATACATTAGCTATTATAGATCTAGATATATAAGAAAGTATTCTAGGACAACAATTTTTACTTATTTTATATATTACACAGATATTTCATTGCTTTTTTTACCTTTATCTATCAAGATTAACACATGCTATTGATTTATTAAAACTTTTTGTATTTTTAGGTGTAACTATACCGCCCCAGTCCCAGAAAGACATTTCAACATTCCTATGGAAGATGAAGCTGGTCCTATAGAATACAAGGCATTGGTTGGTTATTTGGGAACTATTGAAATGCCTAAACAACTACTGCCAAACTCTAGATTACAGACAGTTTGTAGTTGTATTAGGAAATTAAGACAGGAAAAAAGAGCTCCAACTGCAATCCTCATGACAATTTTGCCCACTTGCCTTACTTTAAAGAACTCTGCCAATCAAATTCTTGCCATATACCCAACTAGTAGGGTAGTATATGTTGGATCAACTGCAGATAAGGAGTCTAGATACTTTGGACTGGTAACTACAGCTGTCAGTGAGACAAGATTCCATGACAACAATGACAATGCCTGGAACTCAGTTGACAAAAAGAGTCTCAATGAAAGTATTGAAATTTCAAATAGTTGTCATGTATTTGTCATAGATCCAAAAATAATAGATCATACTGCTCACCAATCTAGAGCAGAAAACTTTAAAATTACTTGTACAAGAAATACTGTCAATGGATACTGCATGGAGTTTCCTGGAAGTGCACTATATGTTGTCAGTCTCATTCAAAATATGTATAAACTACAAAATGGTGACAAGGCTGGTGAAAACTTTGGGCCTCTGGTAGCTAATTCTCCTCAGCCAAGTGCATCCAGCAATTCAGATTCAGGAATAGGTTAGTATAATTTACTAATATAGAAGTATTTGTAAATAATATTTTTCTTCTTATTTTTGATATTATTTATTATTACCACTGGAGCTGGTCATTGGTTGGAATCAATAGATGAACTTAACCATTAACAGAACCAATTCCTAAGAACAATAAGCATATATTTATGGATAAAGAAACTCTAAAATTTTCAATTAATTTTTTTTTGTGATATTTTTAAGCAAGTATGTAAAGTCATTTAGCTTTTCTAGGACCTCGTAAATCACAAAACAAATCACATTTTAAAAAGCTAAAATTTCATTTAATGTATACCTATAGGTACATAGGTGCCAAAAGAGGAAGAATAGAGCCCCAAATTCAATAGAGTTCTTTCAAAGAGTATACCAGGAGGAATTTGTGTATGAAGTTTCAAGATCCTAGGATTTTTTCTGTTCAAGTAAAAGAAAAGACATACGAATATGAAAAGAAGAATCTTTAGAAGACTGCTTGTTAAAAATAGAAAATTCATGAGTGTGTAAAAAGACAAAGATTCATTGAATTCAAATTTTACATTGTTGTTCTTTACAACAAGAGAACCATATGAGCTAATTTTCAAGGCCAAAAGACTTTCTTTTAAAGAAAATGAACAGGCCTGTATATAAAATATAAAATGAAGTTCTTCATCATCATCATCATTCCTCAACCTCTTGCATCCACTGTTGGATATAGGTCTCCTCCATGTTCTTTCACTGTTCTCTATCTTGCACCTTCTGTATCCAATTTCCGACTGTTTTTCTCAAGTCGTCCATTCATCTTTTTGGTGGTCTGCCTCGGTGTCTTTTGTCTTTTCTAGGTCTCTATTCTATGAGTCTTTTGGTCCACCTATTACCATTTAAACATGCTATATGTCCAGCCCATCTCCATTTGGCTTGTGCAATTTTTTCTATGACATCTGTCACTTTAGTCCTCTCTCTCACTATCCTATTTGGTACCATATCTCTTCTAGTTATTCCCAACATTGCTCTTTCCATTTTTCTTTGGGTTACTCTCAATTTATTTGCAGAATGTTTGGTTAAAATTATTGTTTCGGAACCATATGTTATTACTGGCAGTATGCATTGGTTCTGATGCAAAATGAAGTTCTTACACCAAGATAAATGTATGTACTAAAAACCAAAATTTTAGAAAGATTAAAAAGAGATCTTTCGTTAAGAAAAATAAAAGGAATATAAGAAGAACATATATTCAATAGGATTTTTCCCTACATTAAAAAGAACATATGTGCCAGGTTTCAAGGCTCTTAAACATGAAGAACACATACTGATCCTTAATTAAAGAAATGGGCTTTTGCTTCAAGAAAAAGAATAAACAAAAATGTGAAAGAACCAAGGAGAAGACTTCTTGGCCCTAAGTGCATTAAGATTATTTTTTATATTAAGATGTACAAATTTCAAGACCCTATGATTTCCATTTGAAGGAAAAAAGAAGAAACATTATGAGATGATAAGAAGACAAAGATCGATTGAGCTAAAATTAAAAAAGATTCTTACTTGGATCTAGAGAAACATCAGTTTCAAGTTTCTATGACTTTTTGCTCAAAAAAAAAGATAACAGAAAGAACATCAAAATATACAGCGTCTCTTAGATTTCTTATGATGTAACAGAGTGTACTTAATTTTGCACCCACTTTGTTTATATGTGGTTCCCAAGTTAGTTTTGGATCCAAAATTATTTCCAAGAATTTCATTACCTCATGTTCTGATGAAATTTATTATCAGTGCGCAAATATTAATCATATTTGGGAGTTAAATTCTTGGGTAAAAATCTCATGAACCATGTTTTTATTGCATTCAGTGCTATTTGCTGTACAATATTCACTTAGTTCACAATAAGCCCTATTAGAGTTGTCTAGGTATTTAGAAGACTACTTAAAATTCCCTGGACAGATCACACAACAAATGTCAAAGTATTAAATCGAATGGGCAGAGAACTAGAATGGCTGCCAATAATAAAAAGAAGAAAATCTGCTTATCTGGGCCATATATTTCGAAATTCCAAGTACCAGTTCTTGAAGCTTATTGTGGAAGGGAAGATAGAAGGAAAACGAGGCGTCGGAAGAAAGAAATACTCATGGCTTAAAAACATAAGCGATTGGACAAATCTCGATGCCCATGCACTTTTTAGAACCACACAAGATCGAGAGGAGTATGCCAGAATTGTTGCCAACATCCACTAATTGGATAGAAGAAGAGTTATCTACAACTTCTTTAAAGCTGTGGTAGGATGTAATAAAATTGGTATCGTCATCATATTCAGTGATGTTATCAGGAGTAACAAAATCGTTAATGATATCACTGATAAAAATAAAAATTACCTGTTTCCTATCTACAATTTATGAGTTGCCTAACTATATTTAAGTAACTTGCTTTAAATTTGACTAAGATGCTCTTTTAGTGGCAGATTTTTGATAAAATGGACACAGTTGTGAATTTAATACTTGAGATACTTAAAAAAAAGCAAAAAAAAACGTTAATATAATGAATTAGTGTTGTTTCATCAGCATTTTTCGCAATCCTGCAAAATTCAGAGTGTACTTTATGGTGTTAGAATATATTGCAATGACTATCAATATACCAATCATACAAGAATCCGCAACCAACGAAAAATATGCCAGATACAGTTTAATAAAATTTGTTTTTGAATGATTTTGTTTAAGAAAATTGTTACATTGCTGGGAAATACCACATTTATATATGTAACAAACATTAGACGTTTTTAAATTATCTTAATTTCTTGAAATTTGTGTTTTTAAGATAACAAAACATTGTAAACACGTTACATGATATTTTGAATTCCTTGTTTGGGATGACTGACTATCCAAAATGGGGAGGCTTGTTTCAAGGCCTGTTCCAATTATATATTTTGTTGACGGCTGAGTATTATTATTTAAGCATATCTCTATTGTTGCAGGTTTTCGAGATGATTGTGGCAATATAAGCGATAGAATATTGGTGGTCGAATTCCCCAGCACCGTCCTTTCCCTCTCCAATCAAACGCAAATAGACCGCTCGGAATAGATGCCGCAAACTTGCCACTGGAAGGCCTGGACGTGCCTTTCGAAAATAGTCAGCAAAACGTCTTCTCTCGAGCTGAACCTCAATCTGTAGATAAAAAACTGCTTAATAATTTAAATAACATCAGAGCGTGTGAAGCTAAACCAGAAACCAACAGTAACATTGACAATATCAAGCCTAAAGTTTGTGTAAAAGTATCCGACAGTTCTGATGACAATACCCAGAGAATCGAGGAAGGTTTTAGAGAAAGAGCAGTCGATTGTCCGGAAAGCCCTCAAAAGTTATCAGTAAAAGAGTTCGCTACAAATTTAGACAGTAAAAGTGGCTCATTCGACGACATTTCCATGCACAGCTCGAAAAGCAACGAACTCTCCAACCTACTGAGTATTTTTAAAGTACCATTCGAAACTAAAAAGCACAAAAAACACCTGAAAGTCAGCAGTTGCGACAATCTCGACAAATGCAACAGAAATCTAATACACCACAAACTGAGTCCGAAGGTCTACGGACTAAAACCGAACTACAGTTGCGAGGAACTCAACAATTTGGAGAACAACTTTGACGTGGGAGACAAGCTGGGGTATGGCAGTCTGCAAGATTTGTCGTACCATGAACACCGCAAGTTGCAGAAGAATATACTGAGCGATCCGGATGTTAGAATCGAGCAGCAAGAAGAAGAGCCGGTAAGTCTGTATTTATGTATGCTTTGTCTTGCTTAGCAAGCTGTCCTTAGCTACTAACGTCGTGTATTTGTAGTTAGTGTAGATTGTACACAAAAGTATTAGTATATTTATAACTTCCGTATATAAAATTTCAGAAATACTGTAAAAATTATTTAAAACATAAGCAGATATTTTCCATCAAATATTATAATCATAATTAATCACACGTATTACCATATAAAAACATGAAAATTCTCAATCTAAAAGTAAAAATGACTCGAGTCAGAGCCCGGTCAGGTATGGGAGTTTTTCTATGAAATAAACAACGAGAAATTCTCATTTTTATCGGATCAGTACTTAACTGAGCTGCCGCAGTCAATAGAATATTAGAAGCGACTGGGTCACGTAAAAGACAATTAAGCGACTTTGTCGCATTTTACCAACACGCATAATAAAGTTGTTCGAACCCAATTCTGCTTGACACTTATTGTTTAAACTTGTATAACTGTTAAAGGGTTAAGACAGTATTCTATTGTCTTTGTTCTCGTTTTCTATGAAATTGAAGGACTATTTGTGAGTTTCTAACTTGGAGCACTTGTCAATGTATTTGCATTCTGAATTTAAATGCTCATAACTTTACTCGAAATTATTTCTGAAATTTCAAACATAAACGATGGTTGATCGTAATGTAGTAAATATGACGACAACATGTGTATGCGAAGAACTTTTCCACACCATTAAATATTGAAATGAGTGGTGCATAAACTGTATATATTTTAAGAAAGTAAATCGTAATAAATCTCACATCCAGAAACACACTGTCAACAGTAGACTTTCTCAGAGACGGTTTATTTACAAAGGAAAATATAAAAACATTTTATGTTTACTTTTAATAAAACTGGGTTAAGAGCAGAAAACATTTTAAAACATAGTAAAAACGCATATTTTGTGGGTTTTTTTCGTTTTAGTTGTTAAATATTTACTTAAGAATCAGATACTTGGGTTTTGCCACAATAATATTATATTTTGGATATATTTGTAATAAAACTTGAATTACCTCAAAGTTGTAGGTTTATTTAAACAGAGATGATTTAAATATTTACATTAATTCAATATTTTTTCTTGATATGATCTCTAAAAGGTGCTGATCTTTTTAACAATAATGCTACTATAAATAATTAAAACGTTTACTTAGCAATTATATTTTCCTGATCTTCCATATAGCTTAACATTAGCCAGTTGTTATTCTTTTATCGAATTATCCCAGATATAAAAATATACAGGGAGAAGAAAACACAAAATAAAAATCACATTTAGTACAGACAGAATAATCTCAAATATTTTGCCATCTGCAGAAACAAAAATATCGTCAATATCAAGCAGTATATGAGATTCCACGTGGGGACTGTGACAAATCGTATATCGGACAAACCAATCGAAGAGTCGATGTTAGATGAGAATAACATCAAAATTTCACCGACAAGAAAGAAAAAACATGATCCCTTGCACAACATATCTCAAACACAGGAGATATAATAAGCCTGAATCAAACGACGATGTTTTATAAGCCTGAACCAAACCCCAATTTGCCGGAAAAGAGGAAAAATCGAATTAAAAAATTCTACAGTTTTTTTTTAGCATATACAGACATCCAAGTGGAAATTTTTCTCACGAACCGTTAGATGTAGGAAAATTCTGAGTATGGCAGAAGAACGAGCGGCCAACTTTATGAAAGAAATGTCCACTCGCTTGACTCTGGGACCAAAATTGACGCCAATATCGCCGATTAACGAAGTTTGATAAAAATCCAAGGGTTCCCCCTTGGAAGATTTTTGCTAAATTTTAAATAAAAAAAAAAAGCTTTTTTTGATGTTTTGGTATATGCACTTGGTCCAGCTTATTACAAACATGTGTCTTATTCTTATCCCCTAACCCCAATTTGCCGGAAAAGAGGAAACATCGAATTAAAATATTCTACAGTTTTTCAGCATATACAGACATCCAACTGGAATTTTTTGAAAACTGAACCAACTAACATTGAAATTAAAAGAAAACATGAACTCAGAGATACAATAGAAATTTAAAAGACAGAAGAGATTTATTTTCACGTTCAGAGCGACTATGAATGGCCGTCCTGAAGAGGCCTATTAGGCCGAAATTCGTATAAGCGGATACATAGACTCACTATACGAGAAGTCAAATCCTAACTGGCTTTTAGAAATTTAAAAATTCTACAATCTAAACGAAAGATATTATACTCAAAGGCTTCCATTAACATGGAAAACGGTGTTAAAGAAGAAAACAAAAATACATTGGGCAATTAGGACCCAACTTACCTGTAAACGTTCAGGGCCAATCACAAGAAGCTGTCACAAGGACCGGCCGAGAGAAACGAGCCCAGATCTTCATTTTGAGTAACCGCTTAGAGCCAATAGAAAAAACACTTCACAGTGGTGTATACAATCTTAAATGTGGCGACTGCCCAAAATCTTACATCGGTCAAACTGGTAAAAGTTTTAAAAAACGTATAGCAGAACATAAAAGCGCTTTTAATAATAGAAAAAATTATTCTACGTACGCATTTTACCTTCTAGGCCATAATCATTATATTAATGACGAATTTCAAATTCTTCTCATCCAAAATAAAGGCCTTAAGTTGTCTTTATGAGACTCTATGTAAATTAAATTCTATGTAAAGACAAATTAAAAACTATAGACAGAATTCAGTTAAAGAGTATAAAGTGTAAACACATACCAAAAATAGATCACTTGAGAAAGGCACTCTGCCGAAACAGCTGTAGTGATAAGATATTCTAATAAATTTTGCGGAACAGTTAAAAACAAAAGTTGTCAGTGTTTTATTGTTATATATAATGCTTTTCTAGTTGTCTATTAGCAAAACGGCTCCTCTTTTGGTTTTGCAAGAAAATTGAGATGTTGTGCACCATTTAGTCTTTGAAGAAGTAGGTAGTAAATGTACTGGCGTAAAATGAAAATGATATAATGGATATACTTAAAAGAATATACAATTATCTAGCGATTCTTAGTTTCTTAAGTATGGTTGTTATAAGATATGACCATTCCTTTTCTTCCTCTATCTTTTTAATAGATTATAAAAGAATAATAATATACAAAATAGATTACAAACTGAAGAAGCGGGGACAAGTATAGGGGAGGTCTAATATTGTAGGTTATAAGCTGCAATGAAATAGTTTATTATTTATTACCTGTATGAAAAAAAAAGTAAGCATAAAAAATAAGTATTCATTTAGCTCAGTAGACTTAAACAACAACAGGTTCGTATTTCTTTTGTTCTAATTAAAGAGAGTGAGACGTCCTTTACGAGATCGACCCTCAGCTGATGCGTTTTGTTTAGAAACATCGACATCCCGCATTCTTATAATTACACATAACTTAAGTCTGATTCAGTCGACTCCGATTCCCAGAAGGATTTCTAGTCATGTTCCCTGGCAAACGTACACCCATTGTATTATCTTAATTCAGACCATCTATTCATTGGCATCGGCGTTTTCGCCATGAGCGTACCCGCTGGGTTCTAGAAGGTGGAATTGTTGCGTCCTATGGTCTTATTTTTGAAATGGTTGAATTATGTAAATTTCAAAAAACCAATGTACAGTATTATATCAATACAAGTGGTTATTTGAAATACACATTTATTATTTATATTTGAAAGAAAACAAAAAATACAATTTAAATTGTTTTAATAGGTAATATTGGTTTTTAAAATTTTTTAGCGTACCTACTTTGACACGTTAAGGCTCTTAACTCATTTTTTTCTTTTTGAGAAGAATATTTTTGGTAATTGTGATATCAAATATGAGTTTATAAGTTATCTGAAAAAAAAAACCGAAAAAAAAAACGGAAAGGTCGGCTGTGGGCAGCCGCACTTTTCGCTGCCTTCTGGACAACCACCCGTATATGCTTCCCCCCATACGCCATATTGGTGTAGTGTCACTCCCAGATATTTGACGCTTTTCTTTGAAGTTAGTTGTACCCTGCACATTCGAGTTCCGTCCTTTGTCTTTTCCGTTTACCCTTTAGAATAATGGCTTCGGTTTTCTCTGCTGCGAGTTCTAGTCCGTGATCTGTCATCCAGTCTTTTACGACGTTGCCCCTATATCTTACCCGAAATCGGAGATCCGAATCGCTGTGGGACTCCAGCCGTTACGTCAACGAACGTGTCCTTCTCAAACATGATCTTTTTCTCAGAAATATCATCGGTCATCACATTCATCAGATAGTTAGGACACTCCCTCTCTTCCAATGTCCGCATCACCTATTTCCACTGCAAAGTGTTGAATGCATTTTTAACATCGAAGAGCAGCAGAGCCGTCCAGCGCTGTTCGTCCCCGATGTTGTCCAATGCCTCGATTACACTCAAAATTGCGTCAACTGTGGTCTTCCGTTTGCAGAATCCGAATTGTCTCGGAGATAGACCTCCTAATCTCTCGTACAACTTTCCGATGCATGGGAGGATGCATATTCGGCGATATTTCTCTAGAATAATCTTTTCGTATTATGGAGCCCTAGGTGACATATAATGCTGAAGTATCACCGAAAACTTTTCGTACTCATTTCGCCGTTGAGAGTAGTACAGCTTTCTACATGTTTTTATAAAGATGTTTACTCAGGCACAGCTTTTTATGTTTTCTAGGAGATTTTTAGGGATAGCACTAGTAGTAGAGAGAATAATAATTACTGTCTGGGTCCTTTTTATTCTCCATTGTCTCCATTTTGAAATTACAAATCTCTATACTTGCCGATTACCAATGCAGATCGATTGATTTGTTTAGAGCAGCAAGTTTTAAAATAAAAATAGCCATTATGATTGCCAACCTCCGTAGGGAGACGGCACTCTAAGAAGAAGATACTTGCCGATCTGTTGGTTATATTTAACGAGATGATTCCTAAAAAAAACTGATACGACTCTTAGTGTGATTTGATCATTTTGTGCAGTGTATTTGTCTGACATATTATATTTATTATGACAAATAAAATAAACAAACAAACAACACACAATTGATTACATATGTTAA